TCTTAAAGGGGCCAAGGTCGAGAAAGACTGGCGTCAAGAAATTGGTGGCTGACATTTAGGAACATTTTGCAGGAGGCCGTTCTCACCACAATGGATATCGTCCAGGATGGCTTCGGGTTCATGCTCGCTTACGGGGACCTGGCTTGGGTGCCGTTCCTGTACAGCCTCCAGTCCTGCTTCCTCGTAACTCACCCCCAGAAGCTTAGCCTGCCTCTGGCGGGGGGCATTGTCCTGCTAAATGGTGAGTGAGGCTACAAACAGGCCCTCTGAGCATGCACATAATGCTTTCGTTATCTCTTGCTTGAGTGAGGTGGGAAGGACTGGACTAGATCTCTAAAGTCCCTTCTAACTCATTCTATTCCATTTCTATTCCATTTCTATTCTATTCTATTCTATTCCTATTCTATTCTATTCCAATTCTATTCTATTCTATTTCATATTCTATTCTATTATTTATTTTACAGAATAACAGAATAACAGAGCATTCTAGTCTAATCTATTCCCTATTATATTCTATTATTTTACAGACCAGAGTATTCTATTCTATTCTAATTCTAATTCTTCTTTATTTTACAGAATAACAGAGCATTCTCTTCTATTCCATTCCATTCCTATTTTCTTTTTGTTGTCTTCCAATAGAGGCTGGTCATCCATCCAATTCAGGGTTTTCCCAACCTTAATGATTTCTGTGCATGTGAACTTCAAATCCCAGAATTCCAGTCAACATGGCTGTTGGTCAGAATTCTGGGAGTTGATGTCCATGCAGCTGGCAATTGCCAATTTTGGGAAGCATTGATCTGGTGGCCCCTGTGCCAAGAGAAACAGTTGGGCTGGATTCCCTCGAAGGTCCTTTCCAACTGTATGACGCTATGATTCAATACGCTGTAATCATCTCAATGTCGTTTTTTTTTTTCCATTTTGCAGCCCTGGGGTATTCCATATTCCGTGGTGCCAATTCCCAGAAAAACACCTTCCGACGGAATCCTGCTGATCCCAGAGTGGCTGGTTTGTAGCTGTACACATTTCAGTTTGGGGGGGTGGGTTTACAAGAGAGACTTGACCAAGTCCAAAACGCGGCAGGTGCATTTAAACAACGTGGTGGGCCTGCTTCCTTTTAACCTAGACCCATGATGGCGAACCTGTAGCACACATGCCACAGGTGGTACAGAGAGCCATTTGTGTGGGCACGCGAGCCCCAGCCAAACATACCTGCGCTGTGCATGCGCCTCCCAGCGGATTTTCAGCCTGAGGCTGTCTTCGCCTTCCCGGAGGCTCGAGGGAAGCCTCTGCAGGCTCAGGAGGCCGAAAAAATGGGCCTTCCGGAAATACTGGGAGTGATGAAACGGGCCTGTTTTTCGGCCTCCAAAGGCTGCAGAGGCTTCCCTCGAGCCTCTGGGAGGGCGAAAATGGCCTCAAATGGGTCGAAAATCAGCTGGGAGGTGTGCGCATGCATAGTGCAGGTAAGGGGGCGGGGATGTTGCGTGCACATGCGCAGGTGAGCAGGGCGCATTTCACAACAAAAAGGTTCACCATCACTGACCTAGGCAATTATATTTAGAGTAGAATGGGCTGGAAGGGACCTTGGAGGTCTTCTAGTCCAGCCCCCTGCTCAAGAGTAAGATGAAATGTTTGCAGCAGGAGGACCTTAGCAGCTGGTAAGAATTCAACTTTTGGGTAAGGTTCCATTGAGTGGTGCAACCCCAGAACATTTCAGTTAAATGAGGCAAGGACCTGCAGTCAGCAGACGAATCTATAATATGCTGAGATTCTGGAAAGTGCAGAGAAGAACAGCGAAGATGATTGTGGGGCTGAAGGCTAAATATATAGGAAGAACAGTGAGAGAAACTGGGTATGTCTGGTGTAATGAAGAGATGGACTAGGGCCATGGTGGTGAACCTATGGCACGCATGCCAGAAGTGGCACGCAGAGCCATTACTGCTGGCACGCAAGCACTCGCCCAGAAAAGATCTACTGCGCATGTGCACCCACCACCCGATTGTTGGGTACCTGGCACACATGTGTGGGGGTGCAGCAGTGCGCAGGACACACTTGCGCCTCTGCAAAAGCACGCATCGCACAAGGGTCACATGCGCAGAAGCGTGCAACACAGGTCGCACGAGTCGCATGTGCAGAAGTGCGAGTCATGTAGGTCGCAATGCATGCGTGGGAGGCATGGGGGCGGTGCGCATATTGCCTTCTGGGTGATGGCATGCGAGCACGAGCAGGCAAGCCTGCGCGCAGTTATCGGCACGGGAGCCCAAAAAAGTTAGCCACCACTGGACTGGCGGGGTGACACGATAGCAGGGCTCCAATATGTGCCACAAAGAAGAGGGGGTCAAGCTATTCTCCAAAGTGTCAGGGTTCCGGCAATTGCCCTAATTAAATCAGGAACCTCGAGCCAAGCTTCAAAAGAATCCAAAGGGTTTATTAGGAGCAACATGTCGGCATTATCCCAGTTAAAGCCAACTCTTGACACAGGTGATTTACGGTCACTTGTGACCCTGTTCCCCCCCACACACACACACACCGCCGCCGGGTGTGTCATCAATCAGATTCTCCAATGAAGGATTTTCGGAGGCAGAAGATCCGGTAGCCTAGCTACAATCATTGTAAGCTATGTGTGGAATGTACTTCTGGTCCCCCGTCCCCCCCGCTGTCCCCCACTTATGGCAACTCGAAAATAGGCATAGGAATTCTTTACGAGTTGACACAAAGCACTCGAAGGCAGGACAAGAAGCAATGGGTGGACACTGATCAAGGAGAAAAGCAACCTCCCCAAGCTCCATTCTCATTGGCAGAGGGCTGCAGGAGGCCCAGGCGGGCCGAGTGACGCCGAGTTGGCCACATCCACCCTGGCCATGCGCCTGCCCCCCCCAAGGTCAAACACAACCCTGATGTGGCCCTGAGTGAAATTGAGTTTGACCCCCTTTGGTATAGGGTCTGCTTGTGCAGCGGGTTGGATGAGAGCCTAGTCCATCCTCCTGCTCAAAGACTTTCTATCACTCTCTTTTTTCCCCCCTCAGGGCTCCGGACAATCCCTACGGCAACCGGTCGGCGACTCCTGGTCTCTGGCTGGTGGGGTTTTGTGCGACACCCCAACTATTTAGGGGACCTGATCATGGCTTTTGCATGGTCCTTGCCCTGCGGTAAGGGGCAGGCATCTAGGAGGGGCTCCAGTTTAGTTTCTCTGCAGCAATCTGGAATGGGAATAGAATCGAATATTGGAATATAGAAATAGAAATAGAAATAGAAATAGAAATAGAAATAGAAATAGAATAGAATAGAATAGAATAGAATAGAATAGAATAGAATAGAATAGAATAGAATAGAAAACAGGATGGGATGGAATGGAATGGAATAGAAAATAGGATGGAACGGAATGGAATGGAATGGAATGGAATGGAATAGAATAGAATAGAATAGAATAGAATAGAATAGAATAGAATAGAATAGAATAGAATAGAATAGAATAGAATAAATATTGGAAGGAATAGAATAGAATAGAATAGAATAGAATAGAATAGAATAGAATAGAATAGAATAGAATAGAATATTGGAAAGAATAGAAAAGAAGATAGAATAGAATAGACAATATAGAGAATAGAATAGAAAATATAGAGAATAGAATAGAATAAATATTGAAAGGAATAGAATAGAATATACAATATGGAATGGAATAAAAATAGGAATAGAAATTGAATAGAAATAGAAATGGAAAAGGAATAGAAGCATAATCGAATAATAGAATTGGAAGGGACCTTGGAGGTCTTCTAGTCCAACCCCACTGAGGCAGGAATCTAAGCTGGCCTTTCATTTGTTTTCATTGCAGGCTTCACTCACATCTTGCCTTATTTTTATATCATCTATTTCACTCTGCTGCTCGCTCATCGGGATGCCCGGGACGAGCACCAATGCCTGAGGAAGTATGGGCTGGCGTGGCATGAATATTGCCGGCGTGTCCCCTACCGGATTGTCCCATATCTCTACTGAATTCCTAAACCCCCGTTTTCCACGTGGTCTCTGGACTCACCTCAGAGCAGGATGGTCTCCTGGCTTCAGGGCAGCATGAGAGAAAAGACACCGGCAGGGCCTGGCAAATGGGGGGAAAGCGTCAGCAGTTCATCGCTGTTTCTCCAAACTTTGCCCCATCAAGACGGCTGGATTTTTCTTCCATAGACATTCTCCCTGTTTCACATTCGTCGCCTGGGGAAATCTTCCTTTGACCTCCTTCCCTGCCTTCCAATTGTCTAGATTTCTGCTCCTGATTAGGAAAAGAGACTGGAAAAATAAGACTTTGGAGCTGGAATCATTTTTATCGAAATAGATTGATTTTTTTTTAGGACCCAGAATAACAGAGTCACAGAATAACAGAAGAGACCTCAGAGGTCCTCTAGTCCCATCTCCCTGACTCGGCCTATACTTAATTTTGGACAAATGGTTGTCCAGTCTTTCCTTAAAACTATCCGTGATGGAGCAGCCACAACTTCCCAGAAACAAGGGCTCCTATCATACCCGTCTCAGCTGGAGCTTCTAAGTAAGAACATTAAGGACATTTGTATAAAAAAGGGAATACTTTCATAAAGGTCAAGTGAATTACAGTAAAGCAAAGCCAGAACTGAGATTCACACGCCACAAAATCACTAAGTTCCAGTTTCCCCCCCACCCCCGCTTGTCTGCCTCCCGCTGCCCACCAATCAATCAAGCTCTTGCAAGATGTTTCTATCAGGGCCAATCTGAGTCCAGGTTGGTCTGTGACCTCCTCTTTCTGTGTGACTTTGGAGCACTTTCTGTTCCTTCCGCCTCCTTCCCCAAGCAGGCCTAAAGTGGCAGCTGACACTGTCAGGAAATTTCTCCATAGTCCCAGGTTGGATCTCCCTCTGACTAGCTTCCGCCCCGTGCTTCTCGTCCTGCCTTCTGGTGCTCTGGAGATGAAGTCAAGGCCCTTCTCTTCTGACAGCCTGTTCTGACCCAAACCTGGTTCCAAGGAAACAAACACGAAACGGAGGTAACAGCAAAACCTTTTAATGATTCTTTATGAATTCCATTCCTGCCAAGAACACCAGGTAAAGTTACTAAGCAATATTTCAAACACAAACCAAGATATTCCGAAAGTCCACCAGGCTTGAGTGCAAAAACTTCTTTGCTTCCTGCAAAGAACTCCGGTTTCTCAGCTGGCTTTTATCTCTTAAGGGGAGGGGCCATTACCTCGCAGCCTTACTCCCGAGTTGCCCGTGCTGCTGCAGCTGCTCTTTGAGCATCCCTGCACGTACGCGCACTGGGCACAGGCTCCTCGGGATCCTCTTCCTCACTGCTGCCAGCCTCCACACTCTCCACTCCCTGATGGTCCTGGCCCCATCCCTGCATCACACGCAGGCCCCTCCTCTGAGTCCTCGCTCTCCGACACCTCAGCTGTCTGCACCTGCTGCCGGTGAACCACAACACAGCCCCTCAAGTAGTGGAAGATTGCTATCATGTCCTCCCTATCATGTCTGTCTGTCTGTCTCTCCCTCTCCCTCCCTCCCTCCCTCTCTCTGCCAGCTGCATTCCCTCTTCCCCCTCAGAGCTCTCAAATTGCTTTGATGCTGATCCCGACTCCCAAGCCGCCTCCTTCTCCCGATTTGGCTGCTGGAGGTGCCGGTGGCCAAGAGGCCACAACAACCGTTCTTCATACGACAACGTAGCCTCCAGACCTTCAACCTTCTTTGATGCTCTTCTCTGCACACTTTCCAACAGAACAATCAAAGCTCTTTGGTGATGCTTCTTCATCTCCCAACAGTTCACCACATTTGCAAGTGTTCAGTAAGATGCTCTAGATAGAAGCTGAATATTTTTTTAAGAGATTAATAGGATCCTTGGGAAATTCTTAAACTCGAAACTCTACAAATTAGCAAAGCAATACTAATCGGCAGGCTGAAGTAATAAAGGAGATATAATTTGGAGTGTCACAAAAATGACACCTGTTAGAAACTGGTGTTAGAGATTTTCAGACTTAAGAATTAACTTTTAGGTTTTTTTATTTAACTAGGTCTTTTGAGGATTGAATTAATGGCAGCTTTAAAAAAATAACATTTAAAACTCAAAACATTTGGTTTTTTTGCTCTTGAATAGCAAATAATTGGATGCTGGGAATAATAAAAATATTCTTTATAATGGAAAATAGTGAACTGTTTTATTTGTAGCTAGCAATGAAATCTTTTTTGAAAGGGGATTTCTCTGAATCACAATACAGTAGTCCTTGGCTTACAATTGACTACGATTGATCTGTTGCTCAGTGAGACATCTGTTACGTGAGTTTTGCCCCATTTTATGACCTTCCTTGCAGCATTTGTTAAGTGATTCACTGCAGTTGCTAAGTAACACGGTTAATTGGTTGGCTTCCTCATTGACTTTGTCAGGTCACAAAAAGGGATCCATGTGACTCCCGGGGACACTGCAATTGTCATAACTATGAGATAATGGTCAAGAGTCTGAATTTGGATCACGTGACCCTGGGGAAGCTGCAACAGTTGTGTGAAAAATGGTCATTTTCTTTTTCAGTGGTGGTGTAACTTTGAACTACCATTGAAGAAACTTGTCGTCCCGCAAGTCAAGGACTAGAACTGTATTGGAACAAGGGAGGAGGGGAAACACGGCAAGGGAGCTCTGAGGGCACCCAATCTGGAGACCTCTTGGGATCCTTCAGTAGCTCCAGAATTAAGGAATTATTGGCTTCTGCAGTTATTTGAAAGGAAATAAAAGGAATGGGGGAAAAAACCTACTGGATTTGGAAGGTAATTTTTGCAATTTTTCTACTCTGTATTGTTTGGGGAAACACGAGTTTTTAAGAGGCACTAGATACACATCCGTCTCCGAATATTCGTTTTAGATGTCCCACTTTAATAGTAGTCCTTGACTCCTCCTCCTCCTTTCTTCTTCCTTCTTATTACCTTTATTGTCAGACTACCTGTGTACAATGAGATTGGCTGAGCCTCCCTTTGTGCACCTTCCCCACTCAAACACAACACACAGTGAGGACAGAAGTCCCTAACCCAGTCCCCATCTTATTACACTATGACTTATTTATGACCCTAACTCCCCAGCCAGCATGGTTTAATTTTTAAGACATTTGGACTTCAATTCCCAGAATTCCCCAGCCAACCAATGCTGGCTGGGGAATTCTGGGAGTTGAAGTCCCCAAATCTTAAAAAGTTGAGAAATCATTGCACGATGATTTCATTCTCAACCCATGAGTAAACCTATTTGTGTTAACCAGGTTAAAAGGAAGCAGGAAACAAAACAAGAGGGCACAAACCGAGGATTCCTGGTCTTTTTTTTTTTTTTAATCACAGCTTTCCCACTGTTGCCACTAATCCACGTCCATTTTTGTGGGGTAGGAGAAAAACAAACTGACTTTCCCCCCTCATCTTCATGTTTAGGCTTCAAACCCCAGGACCCCGGTGCTGTGATCCACTGGCCCTCTTCTCCCCCCCCCCCCCCCCGCCCCCCCCCCTCCCCCCCCCTTTCTGGACCACCCCCAGGAAACTAGAAAACTTCCCTTCTTCAACCAGGGAGGAAAATCCATTGCGCACTTTATCTCACTCTTTAAGGCAAGGGTCTTCAAACTTGGCAAGTTTGTGGACTCAACTCTAACATGACTGGAGGAGGAAATGTGAGAGTTGAAGTCCCCAAGTCTTAAAGCTGTCAAGTTTGAAGACCTCCGCTTTAAGGGGTGAGATGTGTCTTTGATAGCAGCTGCAGTTGGGGTGAAACAAACTTTGTATGGAGGATTGGCTTCAGTCCAATTCTTCTATCAGAGGCTGTTTGGAAGGGGGCACCTTCCCTCCCCACATCTTCTCCAGCTCCTGGGTGATGGCGCCCACTTCCTTGGCCTCGACCACATGGGCTACGTATTCCCTCTGGACTTCCAAAGCCAGGGAAGGGAGCTCCTCCTCCTCCTCCTTTGCCCAGGAAAGCAGGAATTCACATTTTTTCTTAGCCTTGTAGATCCTGGGCTGGTCCTGGGGGGCGACTCGGCGTTTGCCTTGGCCCAGCAGTCGGACCAGGTGGGCGAAGGCCGCCAGGGCGAACCGGCCCTGCTTCCCTCTTAAAATATGGCCCACCGCCTCCATCGCCCCGGCCTTCCCCAGGGGGCACTCCGGGTACTGTCCGTCCGTGACGGCCTGCAGGGCTGCTTGCAGGGCCTCCCCCGTGGAGGAGAAGACCCGCTGGGCACCCAGCACGGCCGAGAGGTCCAAGAGGGTCTCGCAGACTTCGGGCAACACCTGGGCATCGTCGGTCTCTCCGTTGTAGAGCGACAGGGTGTAGGTGTAGGCGTAGAGGACGTTGGGCAGCTGGAAGCGCACCAGGGGGGAGACGGGGCCGCTGGCCAGGTCGCTCAATGGGCGGATCGCCTCAGGCAGGGCGGGTAGCGAGTTCGAATCCCGGGCAGGAGGCCGATGATTCCGGTCCCCCACGACCGTCTCTTCCTTTGGAGGCTGGGATGAAGCCTCCAGGTCTGGTTTGGCTCCCGGTTGCTGCTGTGGCTGTGAGTCCTGGGCACCCTTCGTTTCAAGCAGCTGGACCATTGGTGGCCCCTGGCTGGCCACGACCCACCAGGGCTTCCAGGGGGGCAGTAGCCCCGAGATCTTCCCGCTGCTCAGCAGCTGTTGGAACCTCTGGCGCTGCTGAGGGCTCAGCTGCTCCCACAGGTCGTCCGCCTGCGGGTCGAGGCCTAGCTCGGGGTCCGCATCCCCGGGCTCGCGTAGCTCCTGCAGCCGGAGGAGGGCCTCCCTCAGGCGGCCTCGCGCACCCGCGTCCCCACGCTGGCCCCGGAGCCGAAGTTGCAACTCTCGCGTCTGGAAGTCCCGGGCGCAGGAGCCGTGCTCCCGGTAGCAAGGCACGGAGCAGAAGCGGACGTGGCAGCGAGGGCAGGTGTAGGGCGCCCGCTCGGCCTGACACAGGCCGCAGCCACCTGAGGCCTCCATGCGTCGAAGGCGCCCGAGCTGCTCCGAGAACGCGCTCGGCTATTCCCGGAGAGAGAGAGAGAGAGAGAGAGAGGAAACTCACCTTCCCTTGTCCTAATGCGCAGGCGCCTCTTGAAAAGCGCTTCTTGAAAAGTCCTGTCGCTTGCTTCATCTCTGAAGAAAACTACATTGACCATGATGCCCCGGGCCCTGCTATAAACAGTTGTGTAGCGTGTAGCGCTACACCGTTTCTTGGATGTTTCGCAGAGTTTCCGGGAGTTGTGAAGACAATTCCAGCTTTAAAAACGAGTACTGGAGCTCTTGTATCTGAGCATGTCAGAAATAGTGTAGGATCTCTTGCTTGGGTGGGTTGGCCTAGATGACCTTCAAAGTCCCTTCCAACTCTTGTTAATCTGTTAATAACTTTCTCCCCCTCCCCCCCCAAAAAATCCTTTTTTCTAAGCTTTTCAAAGAAAAGAATTCTGGGAAATGAAGTCCACGTAAGCTTCAAGCCAAGGTTAAAAAAAATTGTTCTAAAAGGCTCTATAAGGGTGTGTGTCCTTGACAGCAGCTGCAGTTGGGGCTGAAACAAACTTTGCATGGAGGATTGGCTTCAGTCCACTTCTTCTATCAGAGGCAGTTTGGAACTTGACTGTTTCAAGTAAGAAAAGCACTGACTTATGACCAAATTTCACTTAACGACCGTTGCAGCATCCCTGGTCTTACAGGATTAAAATTCAGCTGCTTGCAACCGGCATGCATTTTATGACGGTTGCACGTGAAAGTCTGCAACCTTCTTTCTGACCAGCGGTCGATGGGGAATCCAGGTTTCACTAAACAACCCTAACCACAGTGATTCACTTAACAACGGTGGCAAAAAGGGGGCAAACTCACATAAAATGCCTTGCTTAGCCATAGAAATTTTGGGCTCCATCATGGTCATAATTTGAGGGTTACCTCTGGATGGCTAACAGTTAAAAACAGAATAAAAGCAATAAACAAAGATATAAAGAATACAATTCTGAGATGCTAAAAGTGCATCTCAAATTCTTAAATCCTTTTGGGGACTTGGCTCTCAAGGTGAAAGAAACTAGATCCTATTAAAAGCCGATTCTTGACCCACTAGATTTCTTTATACAGGTAGTCCTCGACTTAAAACAGTTCGCTTAGTGACAGTTTGAACAGCAGTGGGGAAAAAAGTGACTGATGGTCGGTTTTCGTGTCCGTTGCAGCGTCCTTGTGGTCCTGTGATTAAAATTCAACCGATTCACATTTATGACGGCTGCTGTGTGACTGGGGGAGAGGGGGGAATGTGATTCCAGTTTGCGACTGTCCGACAAAAGGGGAAGCCGGTTTCATTTAACGGCGTTACTAACTTAACTGCCACGATTCCTTTTGACAGATGTGACAAGAAAGATGGCAAAATGGGGCAAAACTCATTTCACCACCACCCCACTTAGCAAGACAAAAAAGTTTTTTGGGGCTCAATTATGGCCATAAGGTCAGGACGACCTCTACAACTATGTTTTCATGGCTGCCTTGGGGAATTCCGGGAGTTCAAGTCCACGTGTTTCAAAGTTGTCACGGTTAAGAAACACTTCAGACAATTCACACAACACGCTTAAATGCAAAATCCTAACAGAGTGGTGCTGGTGACCTAGAGGTGGAGCTCTGGCCTCAGAATCAGGAGGCTGTGAGTTCGATCCTAGGTAGAGCCAGATATTTCTCTCTCTGGGCACAGTGGGAATATATCTGCTGAACAAAACTCCGCATTGGTGACAGGAAGGCGAACTGGCCAGTAAAAACACTCTGCTAGCTCCGTTCAGTTGCCCAAACTCCACCCCGCAAAAGATTATGGGGTTGTTAAAAGACGATGATGATTTAAATACAAAATATTCCCAGGGAACCACATACGTATAAAGCCCTCCTCCCTCTTTTGCCAATAATGGCAAAAGGTTGACCTGAGCTCATGCCCCAAACAGGAAAAAGCAGTAGCAACACCAGGAAACGGTTCGAGGAAATATATGTCTTTATTATATGACTGGGGGCTCTTTAGGAGTTGGCATTGGGCCCCTTCTTTTTACCAAAGCCGGGCACGACATTGACAAATCGGCGATTGTACTGCATGCGCCTCTTGGCCCTCCCGGTTTTCTTCTTCTTCTTCTCTTGCTTAGCAACCTGAGAGAACGTTAAGCAGGCATTAGTCAAAAGATCCGGCCAGGCTTCTCCTCCCAGAATTCATTTTAGCTCTTGATGTTGGGCAGATGCATCCGGCCCGTGGGCCGCCAGTTTGACAGGCCTGGCCCTAAGGTCTCCAGACTTAAGTAAGCGGGCTGGACTAGAAGACCTCCGAGGTCCCTTTCCAATTCTAGGATTCTATGTTCTGGGTTCTCATTTCATTTCTAGGCGAAGGGTCTCTGCCCAGCAAATGAAATTGAAATGAAGAGCCGGCAATTTAGGCGCTCTCAGCTGTCCTTGGGGGTCCGACAAGCAGCAGGCTAAAGGATGCCCCAAACACCCCCACCCTCCCAAGCACAACTGGGAGTGGGTGGGTGGGTGGGATCGTCTCGAACTGCCTACCTTTGGAGTCTGGCCTCTCACTTTGCCAGCACGAGCCAGGGAACCATGGACCTTCCCTAGAGAGAAAAGCAAAATGGAGGAGGCTTGATTTTCCAGGGGGCAGAAAACAAACCCACTGTCAGGATTCCAGCAGTTACCCCCATTTAAATCCTGAGTCTCGAGCCAAACTTCCAAAACTTCAAAAGGGTTTATTGGGAGTTAACATGCCAGCACTGCCTGGAGGTAGCTGATTCTGAGGCACATCATTCATTCTCACCCTTGACCCTGGTTTTCCCTCCACCCCCTGGGTGTATTGTAATTCATATTCTCCAATGGGACACGTCCATAGCCCAGAGTCATCAATCAGGCTCTCCAGTTAGAATTTTGCGAGGCAGAAACTTCGGTCACCTAGTTACTGTCTTTGAAAACTATTTATGGAATGCACTTTCGGTTTTCAAGCTGCCGCACTGCTCTTTTAAACCCCTTTCCCCCCTCCCTTTTCTGTTGGCAGCTCTAAAAAGATCAGAGAAATATTTTGAGTTGATTCCCCACACGCCCGACGACAAAGGAACTGGCTTTATTATATGAGAGTCACAAGGGACCATGAGGTTAATGTAAAGATAGTCCTTGACTTACAACCATAATTGAGCCCAATATTTCTGCTGTCAAGTGAGATATTTGTTAAGTGAGTTTTGCCCTACTTAACCACCTTTCTTGCCACCGTCATCAAGTGAATCACTGCAGTTGTTAAGTTAGTCACATGATTGTTAAGTGAATCTGGCTTCCCCCATTGACTTTGCTTGCCAGAAGGTCGCAAAGCAGATCACGTGACCCCGGGACACTGCAACCGTCATAAATAGGAACCAGTTGCCAAGCATCTGAATTTTGCTCACGTGACCACGGGGAATGCTGCAATGGTTGTGAGGATGAAAAATGGTCGTCCGTCGCTTTTTTCAGTGCCGTTGTAACTTCAAACGGTCATTAAGTGAACTATTGTTGAGGACTACCTGTACGGGATCAATCCTCTCACAAAAAAAGAGTCACAGACACGCTGGCTACATTCACTTGGGCCTAAAGGGAGCTGAGCGTATTGCAGCATGCAGACAAAACCCAGTTTTAGGCAGTCCTCAACTTAACAACCGCTTGTAATTAGAACATCATTGAAAAACAGTGATTTATGACCATTTTTCACACTTAACAACCTGTCATTCCCCTGTTGGAGACTGACCCTGAGGGAGAGGAGGAACAGCCGACAGGGAGTGGGAGTGTGGCTCTGGAGGTTGTGAGGAGGCTGGGGAAGGGCAGAGGCCGGCTGAGCAGTCAGAGGAGGACCCAGGCCCATCCCCTCTTCATCCTAGGACATGTAGGGAGGAACGGAGAAAGCAGCAACTTGGCTTGCGAGAGAGGAAGCGGCCATGATCCCCCTCATTGGTTGCAGCTAGGGAAACTAGTATATAAGAGAGATGGTTAAAACACAGCGTTGCCAGAAGCAAAGCATGTTTTATTTCTGGCTGAGGTTTATCTTGGTTGGTGCTCTTCCAACGGACTGTGCCTTGTTATCTTCTTGAAGTTTGTAATTAATTATCCTGGTCTGTCATGGAAATTCCTTCAGTGCGGTTTGTTTTGGGTTTTTTTTTTTTATTTCTCTGTTATCTGTTCTTTGAGTTTGGACTGTAATTCTTTCTTTTGGAGACTATTTTGGAAAGAGTTTAATCTCCAACTGCGAACAATTGAACAGTGGGGCCAAGTTGGAGGCTTTAAAGGAAATGTATTTACGTTTGGGAATTTATTAGGTGTGTGCTGCTTCCCGGGTCATCACACAACCATTGCAGAATCCCCATGGCCATGTGTTCCAAATTCAGGTGCTTGGCTTGTACTTATGACCGTTGCCGTGTCCCGGGGTCACGTGATCATCTTTTGCAACCTTGTGACAAGCAAAGTCCATGAGGAAGCCAGAGTCACTTAAACAACCATGTTGCTAATTTAACAACTGCAGGGTTTTACTTAAACCGAAGGTCATAAAACTGGGGAAAATTCACATAACCACTGCCTTGCTCAGCAACAAAAATTTTGTGATCAATTGTGGTTGTAAGTCAAAGGCTACCTGTATTACTTTTTTTTAAATTTACTTTATTGTCATTGCACCTCGTACAATTAAATGCCATCTTCAGTGTACATAAATGACTATAAAAATAAAGCACTAACACACACCTTTCACATTCTATACATTGAATTGAAAACCCCTGATATTGCATTCATATTGCACTATACAGTGGAATTCAATAAGAGTTACTGCCCTGGGATAGAAGCTGTTTTTCAGCCTATTTGTCCTTGTTTTTATTATCCTGTACTGTCTGCCCGATGGTAATAGTTAAAAATAAAAAAAGGGTTCCCAGGATGAGAGGGATCTTTGAGGTTTTGAACTGTCTTAAGGCAACGGGAGCTATAAAGCTCTTCCAAAGAGGGGAGAGGGCAACCCAGGATCCTCTGGGCAATGACA